TTCAAAGAAAGCTCCAAGCAAAAAGAGTGGACAATTGCAGTGTATGATTTTATGACTTTCATCGGCCTAATTGCATTACATGAGTCTGATCACCTATTAGGCTTACCAACACGACCTTGTGACCACATCGGAAGAAACTCGTGTCTCAAATTTCTCGAAGAAAAAAAAGAAACCTACAGTGCAGCTCTATACGTTTTCTCTTCGTTTATATTTGTGTTTGTCACTCTTTCGTGAACGGTACTTTTCATATACTGCGATTATCTTGTTTAAAACCACTAGTATTTTTGTTAAATATTTTGTTAGAGCTAGATTCGACCTAATTACCATTTTATAATCTTTTTTCTTTCACTTTCATAGTCGTTTTCATCAACCAGCGAAGCAAGAATGGAATACAAGTACCATCAATTATTATGATCACTTCTGAGATACTAGAAATTCTAACTCGAATTCATCATGGTACATTTGATGATGAAATGAATAATCGATCGATTTTGTTACCTCAATACTATTCTTTCCATCAAGCTAATTATTCGAGAATCTATGTGTTCGAAGGAATTGCACCTCACTCTTCTGAACAGTACACACACAACGATAAGACATAATAGGAAAAAGAAAATATCATCTCACTATAGACTGATTGTCATCATGATTTGAAAAAACAGAATATCAATACTTTGGAACAATCTTCATTTTTACATTGCTTGATGGATGATACAACACTAATATTTTTGTCTCATGACGTCGAAACGATAAAATTCAAATTGTTGATGAATATGGATTAGCAATCAGATATGCCCAATTTATATTTATAATAACTTCGGTTTGGTTGAGCTAAAGACATGATTTTCTTTGATAGTCGAATCGAACAGAGTTTATGACTAATAAAAATTTCAGAATATTATGCACTGTCATGGTGAAGATAGCTTTAGACAAGACAAAATGAAATACAAAAAAATCGAAGTCCGTTACGCGTAATCAAATCAGATCAGAATGGAGAAGACGTTTCGTCGATGATAGTTCAACATATAACTTGAGCAAAATGAAAATTCTACAAATGCGTTTAGTAACATAAGAAATCGAATGCTCCTATGCTAAATATTATTTAATATGGTGTAAGCACAGATACTGCTCCTAGAAACATTAACACTGATAAATTGAATCAATTTCAATTTTACAATAAAACATCTTTTGTGTTCCTCCATGCAACAGCGAAAAAATGTAATCTATCAAGTAGAAAATTGCCTGTTGATCACAAATATCGATATTTGATAAGCATTTATTAGCATATCACACAAACCAGTTGACCACATATGCGTTCATTCTAGTAGCAAATAGACAGTTTCTTTGTAAGAACACAGAAAAAACACAAGTGACAGTGAAATAATGAGAGGGTGGGGACATGCGAGCACAGAAGAATGAAATTCACACCACACACTTACACCCACCCTAGCCCAGAGTTGTAATTGGTCTAGAAATATTAGAGCAGTTCGGTCCGGTCGGTTCAAAAATAGTTCCAGACCGGTAAAAACCGGCGAGTTCACGATGTTTTTTCACGTGATAAAAGTGATATTAGGGACGAAATTTTATCCTAATTGCTTACAGATTTTTACCATGAGAAAACAGTCGACTTTTAAAAACTTTTTTTAGCAATTTTAAATGAAAATAATAGATGTATTATAAAAATCAAAATATCACTCATTCAAAAAGGCCTGGTCTTGAACATTTTGTACCTTGTTTTTAAGTATTTTCTGATAATTGCCATGCGTAGGTAAAAGATGATTACTAAAAAAGATGTTCCGCACATTTAGAAGGTAAGGTTACTTTAGAATAACTACAGAGATGATGTTTTTGATTTTTCTGGTCATTGTGATTTCCCTCAAGCTTTTTATTTACCTGATTTTTTTGATTAAATTGAACCTTTTTGCTTGAAAATTGATAGAGAATGAAAAAAAAACAGTTTGCTCTTAGTTTTTTAATGAAAACATCCAATTAATCAGTTTATTCGAAAAAACATCTGGTTTCAGCTCTGTTCCTTGTTTTTCAGGCTTATCTTTTGTATAACACTTGTATTGCACTGCGCTTTGTTTCCAATTCATTTATAAGGGTACGCAAGGAATGCTGATCTACGCCATCAAATTCGGATCATGCTCATCGACAAAGATTATGGCAATCTGCTAGTTGTAACAGAAGTTCAAGAGGTGAAATTCGAAGGTGTACAATTTCTTCTGCAAGCTTCTACTACCGAGCTTTTGAGAAAAATCAAGACAAACGCATCTTCTTCATTACTTCTGGACAATTGGGAAGGTGTATTGTACCAAAAATCATTGAATAATATCGACATATTTTCAGTAATCAGTCGTACCTGTCTGTATATCTTTTTTCTCACGACTTCGAGGAGCATTCTAACTGAGCGATTGAGTATGCCGACTATATTCTAAAATTTGATTTCGATGCAGACTTATTGAAACGTATGATACTGGGTATTTCTAAATATTTCATTGAATATGGTAAACTACTTCGACAAAATAATAACTGGGAAGGTGTGCTGCAACGTTTATATTGGACAAAGAAGATTTGTCACCAGCATGACAAAATGAAACAATGAATTCCTACGAATGAATTTCGGCCAATGCAAAAAAGTCAAGTAATGAAGAGTATCAATGAGCTGATAGAAGAAATCAAAAAAATATTACCTAAAGAATTGTCTAGACGAAATAGTGGTAGTAGTGATAATGATAGCAATGAGGAGGAATATGTATAGTCAAGTGAACTGAGTAGTTTATATTTACTCTTCGTTTATATCCGATCGAAACTGATGTCCTACTATAGTTGTTGCTAGTCAATTGATTTTATGTATGTGCTTCTCGAATCTTCTAATCTTCCTTTCTCAATCAAGGAAAATAAAGAACTCTCAATTACATAATCTCTATCTCTCTCTGTCTCTCATATGTACAAGTCATTTCATTGACTTCAAAGATTCAATACCTTGGGTCAATGATATTGAGATCACCATGATTTTATCTCACCATTTGAATTATAGAATACTCCCCATTGCGTTTAGTTTTCATACATCGCAATGACTAGTCATTTCTTGTATGTTGTACAGAATATTGATCACCAACACAATTGACATTGTATTCATGCAAACTAGGTCGTTGGGCCACGAATGACAACAACTATACCGAGGAAATGCTTCTATTTCATCTCTTATTGTTTTTCTTCCAATATAAATCAACGAGTGCCGTTTTACTCGTAGAGAAATATTTTAAGTAATAGACAACAAAGGTTCATGATTAGTGAAATGATTCACACTTTTTCATGGAATGAATTATGACTATGAGTTTTTATCTATTGTATTTATATTTTTGAAAGACTGTAAAAGACAACATCTTCGAGCTTTTCTACTATCCCATCTGATTATCGAAGAGACGAAAAATGTTATAGTTGTATATGGTTGTGCGCGTAATCATTATACTTGATATGTATTTTTTACTTCATTTCTGTCAACATTCGTTTTACAATTGTGTAGTACTGGTTCAGCTTTTCTGCATGTAACATTGCAGAATCGATCAGAAATAATACAGTAGAGAAGAACACAGTAAGAAATTTTGTGAAATACGATTTGATTATGAGTGTTGACGTATATGGCGCAGAAAACGAGCTATCCAAGCAAATCTATCCTACAGAGATACCACAAAAGCTAAGAGACAAGTGAACTTTCGTATTTTTTGACTTTCAATGACATTTTTGTAGACTTCGGAACATTATGATTTTTGTCCTCATTACGAACCGTGACAGACACGTCGATATGGCCAAAACAAAGAGAAATTTTTGCTTGTCCAATACCTTTTCACTTTTACGTTTTACTGAGACCTTGAAGTTTTGAATTTAAAATTTTTAAAATTTGACTGATTACTCGATTTTTGAATGAATTTTATATTCTAATATTAAAAAAGAATTAATTATTTTCCTTCTTAGAATATTGTTTTGTGACTTCATCTCAGATGATAACAGATATCTCAATATACTTTTCATGTGAGCCAATTATTGGCTTCAGCTATATAGCATGAGTTCGCATCTACGATTAAAGAGATTCCATCGTGTTTCTCATTCACAATCTGTAATTACTACAGTGAAAGCTGTTCGACAACGCTCATACTTCCCTCAAATCTTGAACAAAAGATTACCTTTGTACTATCTTCACCATGTTTCCACTCAATAGACATTTTTTTTTGCTGTTAAATGAATTTGTTCATGTTACTATTTGCATATGAGTCATTGCAGGAAATTAGCTTCTTTCTAATGAGATCGTTGTGAACAAAATATAACTAAAGATTAATGTGGAACTATATTATTAGGTGACGAAGTCGAAAATAAAATTTATTCATAGTTCGTTTCAGCTTGGACATCTTGTTATTTTTCAGAAGGTTTTTTCGGGAAACTCAAATAATCTGTTTGACTTAAGAAAAAACATTCTTGAAGTAGTATTTTTGTTTCAAATGAACAATATCCCTATGGAATTTTACAACTTGTTAAAGGTACCCATCAAACTTATCTCTTTGGACAATCTACTCATTGAATTTTAAACATTCTGGCAATAGTAAACGAGTATCTTCTCATGTGAAATTCAGTTGTCTCATCTACGACATCCGATACTGGCTGAACATAATCCAGTTAATCTTATAGGGTATGGGTGAAAAAAAGTTTTCACACCTACACCCTATGTAATAAATTTTCATCAATATGCAATAAAAATTGATAATAGCCTTGATGATGAGTTTTGAGTCAGATGGAAACGATGACCGTATGGTTCCTGTGAATTTTATTCTTCAAGTGGTGCAGAATAAAAATCATCTAATAAATCTCTTCTGCAAGAATGAAACCGATTGTGATAAGCTGTATTTCATATACTCATTCTGAAACAAGAATATTTTATTCAAAAACAAAATAAATGAAAGAAGTTCAATTAGTTCATTTTAAAATTGACTATAATCAAAGTGTCACATATTCATCAACGAGATACTATTCGCAAGCGTGATGGATCTGCGATGTACATAAGCTGACATTCTTTGATTCATATTCTTCTTCAAATTATCACTGTCAAGATCATTCAATACTCGAACATCATCTACATGCAATCGATTGAGATATGCCTTGCGAAAGAAAGCAATCATCGGATTACGAACTAACAATAGACCCAAATGCCATTTATGAATAGCTCGTAATGATTTCTTTCGTTGATCCTTCGATATCATCATAAACGATTTATCGTTGTTAATGATTAGGTCATCAAAAGCACGATTATGTAAAAATTGTTTCATCTTACATTGTCTTAACATATGTGAAACAAAGACCAACATTACAGGATGTCGATGAACACATTCACTATGAATAAAACCACAATAGGCATTAAAACCGCCATCATATAATTCCAATTTACGTCCTAATGGAGAATAATCTAATCGACACATATAAAGCATGCCGGCCATAACACTTTTAATCAACCGAATGATCGATGAAATAAATCCAAGAAAAGCATCCAAGAAAAAATTAAAATAGATAAAAATCATCAACATTCGACGATTGTTAATTGCTAGTACTTTACCACAATGTTGAAGAAAAATATACTGAGCTAGTAACATATTCAAATATTTTTTGAAGTAAATTAATAGAAGAGTTGGAATAATAGCTTTGAGAATATATTCCAAAAATCGAGCGTTTCGATAGATAATTAAAGCTTCGATACAAATACATAGAATACTTGCAAAAATTGCAATAATAATGTAACCCCAGATAAGATAACCGATAAAGTATCCGGCAAAATGCATATTACCAATTGCATATAAAATATATTTTGATCGTTGCCGTCGTGGTATTTCGCTGTCATCACCACGAAATGATTGAAATAGATTTCGACGAATGTTTGCTAGTAATGCAAGTAATTGAATGATCGTTATGAGTACAGTTAGTGTTACTGCTAAAACATAAGGCCGTTGCAAGTTTGGTACTGGAAATTCAGATTGTTGAGGCTTAATTTCAGTAATCGAATACATGGTATTTTCATTGTTATCATTGAACACTGATATGACATTGAAAAAAGTTTGCATTGTTATTTGTATAGAATGCAGAGTCGGTAGAATTTGTACACATGCCTGTACAGTAATGAAGAAGAGAAGAAAAATAATCGATGAATAAACACAAAGTACACGTGTAGAAAAGTAGAAATCATCCCGCCATTCGTAAATAAATTTCGGTATTAGTCGACCAAATAGATGACAAGTGCGTGGTCGCTGATCAGCAGAACGAAAAAGATTTCGTACGTAGAGCATTTCAGATGAATTTGGCTGTGATGCTCGTAAGAGTATACGTTCTTCACGGGTCAATGTCAACAACATTTGTTCTTCTTGAGACAAAGAACTTTTCTTCAATCGTTTGTAAATCTTGTCTACTAATAAAGTCGGTAATTTTATACTTATATACGCCAAACACAAGAATCTCGGAATATCTGTGCACAATTGAAGAATCAATAGTTGTGAACCTGTACCATAGTATTCAAGTTTCTCATGCAATGAACTTCCATTATTTGTGGTATTGTAATCTTCAAAAGTGATATAGTAATCTGAAGTGCACATAGCCTGATTGACGATAGTAATCGAATAATCAAGCCAGGCATAGATTGTACCACAGAACAATGCCAAAATTAAATCGAGATAAACTACAGCCAATAGTGGATAATAACGAAAACCTATGATTAATACTTCCAAAACACGATCAGAATATTCAAGAATAATGCCTTTATTATTGGATGATGAAGAATTATTGAAAAAATTTCTGACAATAACAAAAAGTTCATCCGCACATATGGCAAATATTATGGCTGCAAATTTCCGATCTATATGTGAAAGAAAATCGGCTGGAACCGGTGGTGCAATATGGCCGTAACATCTATTTCGTAATAATGAAGTTCGTTTTGTTATTACAATACAGATAACAATGATGAAACAAGAGACAGGAAATACTAAAACATTAAATATTTTCATATTCATAATGTGACAGATAGAATTTGGTACGTAATAAAGTGATAAATTATTTTCATATCGATATATTATCGTATTGTGAATTGGCTTTAAAATAGACCACTTGACGACAAGAGTCAATGCAGTTATAAGAAGTGTCAATAGAAAGATAGTGCATGATCTTAGACGAATTGATCGTTTGATATTATTCATGACTATTAATAACTCGAACGTTTTCGAATCTTTGGACTTTGATCTATAATACACACATTAAGGGCACGACAAAGGTGAACAAAACAATAGAAAAATAAATTCACTTGTTCTTTTCATTTTGTTTTGACTGTTTTGTTTTCTGATGAATGTAGTGAAAAATGTTCAAACTGTAGAACACAATAAGGAATATGCCCAATATACATCCCAGTGCAATAACTTGTTTTCCACTATTTGTCTCTGAAACAGAAAAGAAACAAAAATTTTATTTTATCATAGAATAAATAGCTAACAGACATACGCTGATCGCACAATGTACCATTCCACCAAAATTTGCATTGACAACTCCATTGACCATCAGTATTATCAATACAGTATCCATTCGAACCGCATGGATCATATGTCGAACAATCTGAATTGGGTTTTAGTCCATGATAAAAGAACCTTTTTTACTGAAACTACTTACTCTGCTGATCATTGGTAATCGATTTCATTGTAAAAAACAATAAATATTATTATATTACCAATTCTTCTTGCTACTAAATCAATATTTGAAGGCAGGAGCAAAGACAATCGACGCTTTATTTATGCAGTTTTCAATGTTGCATTAACGGTCGCTATCTGTCAATCATTCATCTTATTTATATGTTTCGGCTGTTCTTTTTTTCTTTTATTTCATGATTGTTAGTTTTTGTTGTTGTCTCTGCGATTCAAATACAAAACAGCAGTATCTATTAAGTAATTCTATTCAATTTTCTTCATCATATTACATTACTGGAGGAGCAGTTAAAAAAATAAATTGTTGGTATTGCCTGATGATAAGTGTTTTAATGGCATTCACAGAATTGCGAAGGTTAACGTAGACAGATTAAAGTATGATGTCATGAAAATAAACTGTAAAATTTTTTCTATCAAAAACAACAAAATTCGGTACATTATATGCAATTTTATCAGGAATCTATACAGTCGAGCTCTGATGTTTGTGAGTAGATACCATCGGGACTGGTTCCAATTTCGAAAGGTGTCGATGAGTGTGAGTGTCTGTTTATGGTCACTTCGCCCACACACTCACACCTACACCCGCATGAATTGACCTCAACTAACTATACGTTTCTAGCGTTGTGTCTTTTAGAAATGAAAGCACTGTTTCTGCAGTATTCAACGATTTTCGCAGACTCATTAGTGCGTCGGATGGAAAACGAATCAAACTTTTCTGACTCGAGTTAGTTTTGATTTGTATGTGGGCTTAAGTAGCATTCATTCTGAATGACACGGGACATTGTTTATAGTGATTATCAAAGATGCAAAAAAATGGGACGTCGATTTCTCAATTGCATCATTGACGTATCCATATATGCACAGTGTTTGCCACGTGATAAATGTGTCGATAGAAATTTATTTTATTGCCTCATTTCATTGTTTTTGTAAGCATCCATATGTATGACGTCAGCATGTTGATTTCTTTGTCTGTGATAAGATGTAGTGAAGCATTGATGATGTCTATGACTTTCATGATATTATCTGATTCTACTTGATTTTTCAGAATTTCAGGTGCTTTTTTTTGTTTGTGGATGTCGAAAATCAGACCAAATCGCTGAATAGCAAGAATTTTCGCGTCTAACATCTTCTAGATTTCTTCTATGAAAGCTTATTTGCAACTGAAAATTCTCAATTGTATTTGATCTCATAGGATTTTGAGCTATTTTAAGTGACTCAAGTTTTTAACAATCAATAGAAACGAAATGTGCGAAAGAGAGTTTTCTAAACACTTGTCATTGAAGGATTTAACAGTAACGAAATGCAACAATACATAAAACTCAATTTATGTTGAGCCTCACTTAATGGTCATTACGGATGATTCTCATTGAATTTGTATCAATGTTGAGCATATGCATTCTCACACAGCATTTCTTATTGGTTGTTAGCCACAAGTCTGAAGATAAGACTTGCCTCCTCTAGAGTTTCTCGTATACGTTTACTAGTTATGTGCTAGTCACAGAGTGTATTGTAAATCATAACTTAGAAAGTGTGCTATCCAACGACTGGTCGAAGGTAAATTTCAGTAAGAGAGCTTGCCGAGAGTTATCGAACGATTTACTAGCGTCAAAGCTCGAACATAAGATATTGGATATATGGAACAACTTAAACACCTTTCATGTCGACCGGAAAACTCATCGATTAATAACTAGAGATATATTTTAACTGGCATTAAATGAGAAAGATTGGAGCGCAAACATATAATGGTAATGATGTTTTCTTTTCTATAATGTTTAGATGTCACGAGAAATATCAGTGATCTATTCGAAACACATATGAACAGCTCAAGGTGATGGGTGGCTTACGATTAGATAATGATGAAATGAAAAATTTAAATAAAACAATAAAAGAAATAATTGCTTGTCCAATGCTACTACAAATCGAGACTGCACTAATGAAAACGAATGAATTTCATGAATTAGCAGCATTCATACGAATATTAGACTTCAAATTTATCATTTCCGATGAATTTCACCGATCAAGACAATTACAATTTGGAAATTCAATAAAATTGGAAAATTTATTGGGATTTAAGAAATTCGATTACTATCAATACGATGCGCAACAGTAGGACACGATCGAAAATCTAAGATCGAAATTATGAAACACTTACATGAAATTATGCCCGATGTTATGCTTCGTGTGATATATACAGGTCATGGTTTAAAAGAGATTATGTACACTCCGATAGACATGAATGATGTGAGCGAAATTGAATTTAAACCAATCTTAAAATTGACTTCTTATGGAAGCAAAAATTTGACAATGAAAAAATTTATGATAGAGAAATAAGAATAGAAAATTATTACTCGACGCAACTAGCCATTAGTTAACTGCACTTGTAAACGTTTTAAAACTATAAAATAAACAAAACTAGCTCCATATTTATAAGCATTTCATCTATAGTATAAAAAACATATAGTGACATCTTGAATACTCAATTGTCAAATGATCAAATTAGATTTTTTCTTTCAATGAACTTTTGAAACTAGATTGTTCAATCACAATGACAGGAATTTTGTATGTGTTCGATGTTTTGTCATTGGAATGTCTCGCCGTAATCGTATCATAACTATTGAAAGTATTCCTTGCTTTCAGTCTACAACTAAACCCATATTCTGCATCCTAATTTCAATAGTTTTGCTTCATTTCACGGGTAAAAAGAAAAAAAAAGTGACTAAAAAAATTTTTTTTCCTGCAAAATCATTTTCTGTTTTTTCTTCCTTGTTGACATTGAAGCTTCTTCCAATCGGAACGTGTTGTTTTGAGTAACTTACAGAAATGATTTTCAGCAGGTACAGTACGTTTTATCTTACTTGCTACAAGAAGCCAGTGAACGATTTAAGAAAGAAGATTGTTATGCATAATATCTAGTCAACTTTGTAAAACAATACGCTCTCATTCGTAGTAATGTCCAAATAGAAAGCAATTCATCATTTTTGATACGCCCTCTGCATTTATGATATTATTATTAATAATATAGTGTTATAGGCAACGAATTGCCATAAAACTATATATGTCATAAAAAGGTTATAAATTTAGGGAAATCTCGCTTTTGAACTATGAAGCGTATACTGAGGAACTATAGTAATATGCCTATCGATACTTCACAAAACTTTCTACAGGTATACTTTTTGTCTATAGATTTGGTAGTTTTCGCAAAGCTTTTGATGTTACAAACGCCAATTATAACTTCGACAGTCAACATTTATGCTTCTCAACCAACAAAAACCTCATTTATATTAAGATATATAATTAAACCACGGATGTAGAGATTGATTAACATAAATGTGGAGTTAGCTAGTCATAGGATATTGGTGTAGATCAGTGTTGCTGTTCTAATTATGCACATCCACACCATTTTTTGCCATGCTCTCTACATTTATGGCACAAGAGTCTTCATTTATAACTATTTAAATCTATATTTATGCTTATCATTCTTCATACGAATGGTACCCATTAGTAAATACACAGTAGTATGATCATTTGTTGCTGAATCCTGTCTAGTTTTCTTCTTAAGACCATAGATATAGAGAGGATATAAAAAATGATGATTTTTTTCTTGGTAGAAATGCCGTCTCACTCGATTTTTAAATCTTTAATTATAAAAATTTTTTTTTTCAAGAAAAACT